AAAATAGAAAGCGTTTTTGAAGAATTAGCCAGCGACAAAGGAAAACACACTTCACAATAATTATGGAAGATTTTAATTCCAATATGGGTAAAAACTTGCAAAATTGACAAAGAAAATGCAAAATGATTTCGCTGAGATTCGATCACTCGATATCATGAATACATTTTTTGAAAAAAAAGAGAATAGAGCAGAAGTGTTCATGAAAGTTACCACATGACATATCATGAATACATTTTTTGAAAAAAAAGAGAATAGAGCAGAAGTGTTCATGAAAGTTACCACATGACATAAAAAATGACTTCATAATTCCTAATAGCTAATTAATAAAGTAGATGTTGGTAGTAGCCGCAGAATGGCCAGAGGCGAAATTAAAGCATACCTCTAAAGGAAAAGGAATATACTCATTCGAAAGTCGCTACCAAATCTAGCTAAGACGAGAGCTACAGAATTCAACCTTAACATCCAGAAGAGATATTCACTAATCAACGACGAAGTTCTCAATATTGATAAAATCTAGCAGTTCAGTGACATGATAACGGAAGGTGCATTTGAAGCAGGCGGCAAAACCTATAGGCAAAGCATATGCAAAAACGAATGGACATGAGCATATTATGAAGCAGGGACAGATCTAGCAAAACTAAAACGACTATAAGAAAAAGACGAAGAAAGACTACAGAAAATAGGTCTTACTACTTTGGAATAAAGAAGAAAAAGAGGTGACATAATAATAATGTTCACCTATATTACAGGAAGGGTGAAGTTAGACAAAGATGACTTTATAATTTTGAACACATGGAAGACGAGAGGACACAACAAAAAGTTGAAAGTAAAGGAGGCGAGAAAGATGTCATGAAGTTCAGTTTCCCAAACAGAACTATTGAAACGGAATGGAACAATCTTCCAAATAACGTTGTGTGCCCAAAAATTACATCAATAATGATAATTTAGCAGACGCGACCATCTGAGCTTAGCTTTTCTCCCGTATTGAACAGCTAGGTAAGGATAACTAGGTAAGAACACACACACACACAAATATAGATAATTGTGTATATATATATATAATTACATATATACATATACATGTCTGTGTGTTTGTATATGCACACACACACACACACACACGCGCGCGCGCGCGCGCGCGCGCGCGCAGGCACATACACACACATACACGCACATACACACACATACACGCATACACACGCACACACGCACACACACACACACACACACACACAAACACAAACACACACAAACACACACACACACACACACACACACACACACACACACACACACGCGCGCAGGCACATACACACACATACACGCACATACACAAACATACACGCATATACACACACACGCACATGCACACACATACACGCATATACACACACACGCGCGCTTGCGCACGAATACATACGTTCACAGGCAAACGTACACATAAGCACGTACGCACATAAATACATATATACGCACACTTTATCTCACAGCATTACTAACGAATGGTTCTGCTACTATATCTACCCTCAGGTCGAAAGAATGCCCATCTCTTGTGCGCTGGCACTGGTGGGCAGATCGGATGGCACCTAGCCTACCACTGCCCTGAACTCGTGTCCAAAATGGTCTTGATTCACTCCCCTCATCCTTATGTCATCCGCCAGCAAATCAGGGCTTCATGGGCGAACTATCTCAGAATCTGGTATGAAATTGGATTTGTATACATTTTCTTACTCATTTTGGAAACAATGCAATTATTGCAGTTATTTGCACTATAATTATTACATCTTAAATTTATCAACCTTGTCATTTTCATTATAATTACCGCTACATGCTTATCCTCAGTAGTGATGCGACTAGTAATCCCAGTGCTGGCAATACTTTCTATTTTCGTTTTCATAAATCTTATTTACACGTAAGTCCTTTTCTCCATCATAATCATATTGTTATGATGAGGATGAGAATCACTACAACAACAATAATAATAGTAATGATATTCATAATGATGATAATGATGATAAACCTAATAATAATGATAATGAGGATGATTATAACAATATCGAGTAGATTATACAAATAATTGCGTATCTAGCTATATCTGATATCTCAAAGCGAACTCTCATTGGCTATATATGATGACATCATTAGCTCTGCCTATTTATCTGACTCAGTTAAGTTATGTGATGTATTATTGTAAGCGTTTTATTTTAGTAATGGTTCATTAATAATAAAGCCTCCAGGCTAGTACAGTGGCAACGTGTCGGCTTCTCATCCGAGGGTCGGCGGTTCGAAGTTGCAATTGTCGCCTGGGGGTTACTGCTGTGGCTGGGCACCACGGCGGGTAAGGACAAAAGCCGAGTCAGCACCAGCTGACACACTGTTAGCGAGTCGACAGAGGCCGGGCTCCCCTCATAGCCCGGGCGAGGCTCAGCTTCGTATATCGGACTTATCCCTATCCTTATTAATAATAATGGTAGAAAAATAAACGAAAAGTAAACCAAGGAAAAAAAAAGAAATAAAAGGCAAAGAGGCGGGACTTAGTTCGGATATAGCCAACTTGGATTTTCATCAAGGTGGAGTGGAGCTACCTATTTCATAGTACTTGATGATAATAATAATAGTAATAAGGATAATAGAATTGATAATGATGATGGTAATGATGATAATGATGATGGTGATGATGATAATACACCTTTCCAAGCAAATTTCTGTGTTTTCGACGAATCATGCTCTAGTTTGTTTTCCGCAGCACATAATAATCATAAATATGAATCTACATAAAAGGGAGACGGGTCATTTTGCAATTCACCAATATCAACTTCAATTTCAAGTGATTACGTGAATATATCGTTGTATTGAGAAAAAAAATAGCGATACTGATAAAGGATAATGTAATTGAATAGCTAATGCGACGTCAATGCCACTACAAAAGTATTGATCGACATGTATCGTCATTACATATATCGCGATACAGCCCATCTCAACACTCATTTGAGCCCACATCCATAAAAGATATTTAGCTTAAGATTCTGTCTTGACCCAATTGGCATGGATAGCATCCCCGAGTCATATGTGAAATATATCGGAAAGAACATTGCGTTCTTATTGGTTGGACGTAGTTTATAATTTTTTATAAAGGTAGAGGCATACAAAAGAAAAAGGTGTTTTAACAGGTTCTAAATATGTTCTCATAAAGAGCAAACGTGTCTGAGGATGTATCAAAGTGTTAGAGGTTTCAAGACTGTGTTGGCAAGTACCTCCTCGCATCTTTCATTCATAATTCAGCGTATAAGAAAGTTCTATTATGATTAGCAAGCATTTATAACATTATCATGGCAAATAAGTGAAAATCTGGCATGAAAAATAATAGAAGAATTGAGTTGTCTTTGGCTCACCGGCAAAGAGAAGCAAGCCTGGGCCATGTACATTTTAGCAGAAGAGAGCCTTGGCTCGTTCCTTTTTGACAATAAATTGTCAGGGAACTCTGAACAGCGCGAACGACCACCGATTCTCTGTAAGTTTCGCCCTACATGTCAGAAATGTAAATATACCAAAATATGCATACAAATACAAATACACACACACACACACACATACATATACACATACACACATTGTAGAGGTCCGAATGATGGGCCCTACAAAGGTATAGTAGGTGGCGATCTCAGGGTATAAGGTAGACAACCAAGATGTATTGACTCCTTTATTGTATAACAATGATGGGGTACGGCTTCGACGAGGAGCAAGGTATTGCTCCTTGGCTCCTTGGTACTGCCCACTACTTCTGGGAAGGTGCTGCAAGGTGAATTCATGATATGTGGTGATTAACAGCATCTTGAACACACTAGAAATCATCCACAGATCCTTGCAGTACTGCAGTTGTTCTAAAAGGATTCCAGTCCGCATGTTCAAGTTGCCATCTCTGCACTCCATTGGCTAATATACCATTCACTTCCTCCAAAAGCATTAGAAAGTGGTCGCTTCCATGCAAGTCTTCCATGACCTGCCAAGTGAAATTCAACTGTGAATCAGGTGAAAGGTCAATACTGGAGAATGTCCCAGTTTGTATTTGGAAATGTGTAGGTTTGACATTGTTCAGTAAAACTGCTCTACTCTTGAGAACAAGGATTCCAAGGTCCTTCCTCGAAGGTTGCACAACTCCCCAGAGGTGATGCCGACCATTGAAATCTCCCAAAAATAGAAATGGATAAGCCATCCGCCCAAGTGGATCTTCCAAATCATCGGTGGTGAGATTGTGTGGAGTAAGGTAGATGGATGCAAGCCTATTCTCACAGCCTTCACCTGCAGTATCATCCATTGGTGGGAAGTACCGTCACTGCTACTCCTCCATAAGGTCCATTATCAAATGTCCCATAATGGGATTGGACTTGGAATCCCCTCAGGGAAATCGGACGTTTTTCCCTGGTCATAATTTCTTATAGACAAACTGGGTTACATGAAGCTATCAGATGTTGCAATTCTTCCCATTTTGCATGAATTCCCTGTCCCTTTCCAGTAACTTGGGAGTACCTTTTGTTTACCTGTGAAACTAGTTTTCTACAGGGCGCAGCATGCAGCATCGCTCAGGATTTCTTTGCCTGGGCAAAGCCTTTGGTTCAGGAGCATTCCGTCTAGCAGCGGAGGCCCCTGTGGATATGGTGGCAGCTGGGGCCATCACCGCTGAGGCCTCCAGAGCCCTGCCTGATGGCTCCAAAGACTCCACTCTGGGAGGAGTCTTTTTAACAGGCTCAGGATTCCTTTGCCTGGGCAAGGGGCATACCCGAGACTTTGCTTCAGGAGTATTTTCCCTAGCAGCAGAGGCCCTTGTGGATGTGGTGACAACTGGAGCTGTCATCATTAAGGCCTATGGAGTCAAAGACCTTACTTTGGGAGTAGTCTCTTCAATAGACCCCTCACTCCTACTCCATTTCTGATGAAACAACTCACTAGAGGCAGTTTCAGCATTAGAGGACTGAGGTTTAAAGGTAGTGACAGAGTGTGTAGTCGAAGAAATATTGGAGGGCAAGGGATGGCGGAAAGGAGGACAGGCTAGAACCAAGGCAAAGGACTTTCCTGGCTGTGCAACCAGTACACGGGCACGTCGCTTTGACTCTGGAAAACTCTCTCCTTTCTCCTTATTATCAATACTTCTTATTAAACGTGTAACTTTAACATTGCTTTTTCCAGCATACTGGACCTGGACAGTTGTCATCTCCTTGATGATCTGTTGTACCACACTTTACACATGCTCTTGGTTGTCCATTTTCCTTAAAACAGCAAGAGTTGCAGTGGAAGCACCGCATAGGGTTGGGCACATATGGTTTTACCTTGAGATGATACCATGCCAACTTAACTGATTCTGGAAGGACTAATATTTCCAAAGTTAGAAGGAGAGCTGGTGTCGACTGTTCCAAACAGTCAACTTTGATTAAGTGTTTTGTGTGGAGAACATGAGACTTGAGCCCCAGGAATGTCGTATATCACATGCAGACAGTCACTCTCATCTGGTGACAAAACCTCAAGTATCAGGCTACCTTCTCACTGTAGGGTGATGTGAGAATCACACTGACATACCTCAACTATCTTCCAGTGTACTTCAAGAATATTAAGATCCATTATTGATGCACCATCAATGGTCTTCACTACTAGGCATTTACTATATGAGATACACATTTATCAGGTAAGATTTAATTAATGGAATGAGGAAAACTTTTCTCCTTCTTACCTGGTTTGCCTTTTGGAAACTGGAAAGGCTTGAGAGTGACATGTGACATTCCAGAGGGAATGGCCTGGTTCGTCAGGGAGAGAGCTAGTTCTATGTAAATTTGTAGAAATCGTACAAATTAGAATTCTTCATTTCCTCACCCACCCACCAACCATGGAGTCCAATACAGGGAAGCTGTAGTTGGGATTCAGTCAGAGGGGTAGTAAGGAAATATATATGTAGACACGATCACAGTGCTGATGGCAGTCGCAGGACTTATGCGCTACTGACTGGACAATGCCTGCTTGACCCTAGCCATATTTGACCAGCCAATTAACTTGACCAGGCCTTGATCAAGCCATCTGTCGAATCATACTAGAGGACCAAAGAGGTGTGTTGCTAGCTGCTGGGCACGGGGTGCAGCATCACTCAACCACCACAGTAAACACGTGGGAGAGTTCTCCCTAGTCCAAGCAGGAATGACCACCCCCCTCTCATAAGCCTTGGTGCACCAGGAATCCATTTCGTCTCATCTCTCACTGGTGACCCCTCCAATATAGGTGGCCCTCTGGTCCAGCTCACCAGATCAATGGCACCTCAAGTCCCTACACTGCAGAAAGGCGGCTCCCATAAGAGGGTTGCATCTGTGACAGAAAGCTGCAACCGAGCTGGCTATGAGATGTCTGTCAGTCCTTATGGCTCAGGAGCTGATGCTGGCAATGAGAATTGCCTCCTTTTCTGGGACTTTGCTAGGTCCCAGAAATTGAGGATTTCTGGCTCCATTCGATGCAGCCCAAGAATCGATTGGTAAATGCCCAAGAGCAAAACAGAATTTCAACTCACAGGAAACACTGGAAGCTACATATGCAGCTCAGGGGATTGCAACTTGCATCGTCCCCTGGTGCACAGGACTAGGTCACTGCTTTATCGCTCGTTCGCTTAGCTCACTCTCTGGAGAGGGAGTACCTGTAGCAGCATGACCCCGCAACCTGAAGCTCAGCATACTTTCCCAGGTTGGGTCATGCTAGGTCCGCCACCGCTGGCTGCACTCATTGGCCAGCGGGCTCCCCTCGTTCCCTGCATGCTTACACAGCGCTAGTGTACTTAAGCCGCAGAGATGTCAGCGAGATGAGCAACCCCCGATCCTCCAGACTACAGACTACAGCAACAGCACTCAAGGACTGCCAAGTCCTTAACCGACTGGGGAGCCAGCCGGCTCCCCCGTAGAACTCCAACAACAGTCTCCAATCACCCAGCCATACCCGTGGGCACTCACACCCACACAGTCACTCCATAAAGAGATAAGACACCAGACTAAACATAGTAGATGGGCAACCTAACCATCTACTATATTGGTGACCTTCGGAGTGACCCGAAATATGGAGTGACACGTTCCGGTTTATCGCTCGTTCGCTTAGCTCACTCTCTGGAGTACCTGTAGCAGCATGACCCCACAACCTGAAGCTCAGCATACTTTCCCAGGTTGGGTCATGCTAGGTCCGCCGCCGCTGGCTGCGCTCATTGGCCAGCAGGCTCCCCTCGTTCCCTGCGTGCTTACACAGCGTTAGTGTACTTAAGCCGCAGAGATGTCAGCGAGATGAGCAACCCCCGATCCTCCAGACTACAGACTACAGCAACGGCACTCAAGGACTGCCAAGTCCTTAACCGACTGGGGAGCCAGCCGGCTCCCCCGTAGAACTCCAACAACAGTCTCCAATCACCCAGCCATACCGGTGGGCACTCACACCCACACAGTCACTCCATAAAGAGATAGGACACCAGACTAAACATAGTAGATG